AAGTCTAAGGTCCAGCAAAATCTACCCAGGTTTACTGGTACAGAAGCTCTCACAGGCACTGAAGATGCACCTGTAATTTTTTGAGGTGATTGGCAGTATGAATACATTTTACCTGTGCAGGGAATCCTAAGTACAGAATATCAATTCTTGACATCTCTACTTAGGAGCATAGAAAGATACATGATATCTGGCTCAAACTAGCTTTCTACTTAGCTTTATTTACTGTCTTTATTCTGACCAGCTGGCCTCAAACATTCATTTAACTGGAGATGCTGGAGCTGGGATTTCTGCAAACAAACAAACTGTGGTAGGGGAAGATCAGGGTTTGCCCAAGACCCCATCAGAGCAGACACTTTTAGGTTAGATAGACAAATAGTTTGACCTGGTATAAGCAGCTTCCTGTGTTCTTAACCCAGCCTGTGCATATACTAGGATTCTGTAGGAAAGCAGAAAAACTCAAAATCTGGTGCTGGGGGGGAAAGCCAGAGCCTAAAGGATCTCAGATTTTGTTATTTTAAAACGTGAAGCAAGCTACTAGCCCTCATGAGTAGGTTTCATGACTACAAAGAGATACTTCAAAGCATGAAAACAACACTTGCTCCAGACTTAGAATCCCAAGAACTGTCCTGTGGTTGGGGGGGGGGGTCAAAGGTTATGGCCCCACATCGCCTCTTGGCCCTCTGAAACCAGAACGAAGTCCACAAAGTAGTAAAAACCGAATAATAGTGCAAAAGGCCCCCACAAATTTGACTGGCATGCACTACAGAGACAGGTTGCAGAGCTCAGCTTTTCCTGGCTTAGGAGCTGGATTGTCCAGGCACTGAATTTAGATGTTTGTTTTTAAGTGAAGCGAAACAGTGCTGGCCTGACCACTTCCACAAAACTGTCTTGAGAGCTGCTCTCATTCCTTCCTGTCACTTATTGCTCTTGAAATGCACATTCCAGGATGCAGCTCTCTCCTCCTTTCATCGCTGGAGCGGTGCCTGAACCAGTCACTCACTTCGCACCTTCCTTCACACAACCGCTGCCACAGGCAGATAATGGCCGAGATGCCCTTTATCTGGGAGACCACGGACCCCCCCCCCCGCTGGCCCCGCCCTGCCTGCTGTCCTTGGCTCTGTCCTGATTCAAGGCCAGAGCTAGCTGCCTTGATGCCCTCGGCAGCCTGCGCGACCCACCCGCTCCCCATCACGTACGAACACAGCGCTTGGGGGTTCCACCAGAAGAAAACCGCACGAATCCCTGCGCAGGGTCTGAAGGGGCTGCAGCGGTTAAAGCAGCCGTCCCCAGCCTGGGGGCCTCACACTGTCACACTCCCAGCCAGCAAGGCCCACGGCTGCAAGGAGCTGCAGTCCCACGTACTGGAGAACACCAGGTTCCGCCTGCGCTCGGCCATCCAGCTCACCGGGCGGCTCTGGTTACTCACTGACCTCGTTTGCACTGCATGCTGGGCTCACTGTGGGTTATTTAAGCACTGGGTTGGATTATTCGGGTTTGTCCGGCATGCCAGCACCCCGCTGGGGACTGAATGCTCTGAACGCAGCCGCATGTGCCTGGCATGGGCCATGCTTTGATGCAAGTTAAGCAGCCAACGAGGAGCCCTGCATCTGGAGCGAACCAGTCTCTCAGCTGACAATACTGCGCAGGGCCACTGGAGATAAAAACACGAGGGATGGAACATGTGCATGTTCAGGAGGGAACCCTGAATTTCCCGGGGGGAAGAGAGCTAGAAATGTATTGCTATCATTAAAATGACAACAGATCTCTAAGGGCACTGCAGCTGAAACACGAGCTCTCATCTCATCCATGCACACCTGATTCTTTTCCTCTCAACTGGGTCCTGGGCAAAGCGGTATTCAGCTACGGAATGTGCTTTACTGTGTTTGGCTACAGAAAGAAGATGCAATAATTCCAGGCTGCCTGGCTTGCTGCTCTCACCAAGCCTCGAAGCAATTCTGGCTTTTTTACTGCTTTGAAAACATGCCTAATTATTCCAAGTGAAAAAGCAAACACATTAGATAACCTCTGATGCCAGCCAGCTGCGTGCCCCTCTCCAGCTTGTGCCCAGGGCAAGTGGCTCTATTGACCTACCCTAGTTATATTATTTTTGATATATATCTGAAAAGCCCAGCTTCAGAGAAAGGAATGTCACCAGGCTTCAACGAACCCTGACCAGGAGGACAGCCTGGATTTCCCATACCTTAGATTTGTCTAAAGTTCAGAAACAGCTCAGTCTGCAGAAAGCAGCTAGCAAAACTGTTTGCAGCCTGCAGGTAAGAATGAACATGAAGATTTTAAATGAAGATGAAGATTTTAAAAGAAAAGCACTGCTGTCACTTTGTGTGTGATTTGCAACCTCTTTGCCCTGCAGCAAACTTCACCAGCCTGGTGCCCCCTTCCCCAAAGAGCCAATTGCTCTTTGGCTGGGGATGATGGGAGTTCCAGAAGGTACCAGATCGGAGCAGGCTGTCTTAGAGGAGAGCCAGTGGCTCGCTGCACGCCTCTGGCCAAAGCGCTCACGGCGGTCAAGTCCTGAGCTGTTCCTTGCTTTGGTGCAGCCCCTGGCAGAGGGCAGCGCTCCCACTCCAAAGTTCTGCAGGGAGTCTCCTCCACACGAGCTGAGCCCACACTGAGCATCCCTTTGGGCACCAAGTGTGTACGCCTGGAGCTTGCACAACCCAGCCTGCCAGCGCCGGACAGCATCCCTGTGAGGCTAGTGATCCCTCTTGCTATTCCAGAGAAAACTTCCGCTACTGATGCCACTACATCAAGCTGCTTTTAAAAGCAAATCTACAGTGGCAAATGGAGAGAGTGGGAAATCCACCTATGAAACAGACTGCACGTGCTCACAGTCAAGGTGGCCAGAAATCTGACACCAGGCTCAGAATTACTGTTTTTCCCCATGGTCAGGTCTCCCCTCTCAGTGACAAAACCTTTAAGATGCTAGCACTGTCAGGAGATCCCGTTACCATGGAAAGCAGCCATCCTCCAGGTGCTCACTTGAAGGGAAGTTCAATAGAAATCAAGTGAAGCTCATTTCCTGGTAAGAGAGTCCGTGCCCAGGCTGCAAGGCAGCCCCTTTGATGCCAATCAATAAGGTTACCGTCTCGCAGATGAGTTTCTGCACCGGGTTCAACACACCTCCCAACAAAACAGAATGCATGACTGCAAACTTCAAGAGGGCCACTCATCGGGTGCCTGTAGCAAGCAAAAGTCACCTCCTAGCAAGCACAGTGAAGAAGTCTGTAACATGGAAGCGTGTTGGTTTACCCCTCTCTCTTCCAAGCTCCAAGCAAGCCATGAATGAAGCACCAACAGATGTGCCTTTCAAGCAGGCTGATCAAAATTGCTGCAGGTTACTAACTTTTCCAAAACTTATTGGCAATAGTATTTCATGCAGAGTCAAACTTTAGCTTGGGGCAGCAAAATCTGAACTTCTGGGGCAGCCCTGAAGTAGCTTGTGCTTGGGATGGCGAGGGGCTTCGATCCTTTGCAATGCCAGAGAACACTGTGGGAGCGGCGGGCAGGCTCAGCCGCTTCCACGCCAAGGAGAGAGCCTGGAGCGCACCTCACCGAGGGCCTCTGGTGGCTCAGAATCCTGCCAGTGCCCAGCACCTTTTCAGCACCCTGTGTGGGACGCGGGAGGAGCATCGCTGGGAGTATGCAGCACAACCAACCCAGAGAGGCGCCGGGAGCATGGGTGGGGAGGGAACCTTGCCCATGCTAGTCCCACAGCTGCGAGATGTGGCCACCGCATGTTCCCCACTGTGGCGCATGGCCCATCCGGTGCCTGTCTATTCGGAAGTAAATCCGCTATTGCATTAAGTGGAGCTTATCTCAGATGTGCAACAGGAACAGCGACCACAGAGAAGGCCTGCTAACAGTTCAAGGGGCCTGAGTCCCAAGTACAGGATTCCTGTCTTAGGATGTAATCCTGCACATGCTTGCAAAGGAAAAAGTCCCACAATCCCCGGCATTCTCCGACCGGCATGGCTGGCTGGGGAATGATGGAAGCTGTCACAGTTTTTCCTGTCTCGACATGTATAGGATTGCAGTGCTAAATTGTAAGCTAGGAGAAAGATGTAGTTAAAAAGAGAGCGAATGAGAGAGACATACCAAGAAATGGGCAGTTAACGTTGCTGCAGCTGGGCAATGTGCTGTTAATGATTAGAACGGCCCTCCCCAACTTGATGCCCCCCCAGATGTTTTGGACTTCAACACCCATCAGTCCCAGCCAGCATGGACAAGGGGTAGGAATGCTGAGCGTTTTAGTCCAAATGATTAGGGGGAGCCTGAGATGGAGGGTTAGTTTAGGACTGGGGGACCCAGAATTAAATCCCCACTTTGCAAACAAACTGAGTTCGCCCACCACCAACTCTTAATCTAGCCGGTTTAGGGATGGGAGGACCCTTTGGCTCTCGGGATGTTGTTGGACTGTAACTCCCATCATTCCTGATCATTAACCATATTCCGGGCGGAGAGGCACCCCCACAACAGATTCCCTACCCCCTGGAAGAGAACTTGGCAACAAAGACACACGAAATCAGCAACACTAGCAAGCAATTCTAGGCACCCACGTCAGGTCCCTAGAACCCAGGAGGCCTTGCCCTCGTGTGAGCGTGCACAGGATCGGGGTGTCCCCGGGTGGGACTAACTCCCACCAACCGAACAGGACTTGCTTTGAGAAGTAAAGTACTTCGAGGCTGCGACCGCGCACCAACTCGCAAGCAAGCCCGCCGCCACCCAGGTCGGAGGAGTCCGTCGCCTCCAAGGGGCGAGCGCGCACTGCGCCGCTCCGAACGCGCGCTCGGAAACCCCGGGAGAGCGCGGGGAAGTTGAAGTCCCCGCCGCCTCCCGCCGGGCTCCTTCCCGCGAGCCCCCCGCCGCCCCACGCCTGCGCTGCCGGCGGGGAGGGAGCCGCGGCGCCCACTCGCGGGCCCCCGGCCGCCCCCTCACCGCGTCCCCGCCGCCGGAGCGCCCGCCCGCCCGCGCAGACGTACCCCATCTCTCGGCATTTCTCGCCTGCCGCGCAGCCCGGCGGCGACAGCGCGCTGGCCGGAGGGGTCTCTCCGCCCCCTCGGTCGCCGGGCGGCAGCGCAGGGCGCGTCCCGACTTCGCACATTCGGCCGGCCCGGGAAAACTCCCTCCGCAGCTTCGAGGGGCGGCGACAGAGAGGCGCGCCGCTCCGCGGACGTGGAGGGCAGGAGAAGCCGCCGCCGCCGCCGCCGGGGCCGCCGCGCCGACCCTTGCGCGCCACGCAGCCGCCTTCCCCGCTTCGGTGGCCGCTCGGTCTTTACATAAGCGGCTCCCGCGCAGCGCCGGGCGCAGAGAGGGCGAGGCGGCCGGAGGCGGGCGCGCGTCCTGCGGGGCCCCGCGTGGACGGACCAGGCGGCGGCGGCGGCGGCTCGGAGGGCCACCTGCTCTCCCGCAGCCGCCTCCCACTCGCGGGGCGGAGAAGCGACTCGCACGCGGCGGCGCCTCTTTCCTGCGAACCCGGAGCGGGGAAGGGGCGGGGCGCGCGGGCGCCAATCAGCTGGGCCGCGGCTTCCCCCCTGCGCTCGCTGGCCGCTTGCGCGCGATCCTGTGCCCCGTTGCTCCGTCCCGCGGAGTGCCTGAAAGTGCCGGAAGGGCGCCCAAGAGTACGGGACCCTTCCCCTTTTAAAGTAAATTTGCAAACTGCTATTTCACTATTTGTTAAAAAAGGGGGGAGGGGGCGAGCAAGCACAGCATCCCCCCGACCCCGAGAGGCTAAGACCGGCTTTTGCTCCCGTTGTGCTCAGTCCACGAGACTTTACTCCAATGGAAATACGGAAAGCTGACCTCCCAGCTCGGCAGGATTTGCTTCTTGGGGGAGGGGGGGCTGCGCTAGCCTGAAAACAAACTGGGGGTGGGAAAGAGAAGAGGCAGTGCCGTGTAGCAGTTAGAGTGCCAGATTAGGACTGGGGATGTCTGGAATGAAGTCACTGTGCATCCACGAAGAGCGCCAGGTTACCTGGGGCCACTCACACACTAGCCTAACTCTCAGGGTTGTGGTGAGGACAAAATCAGAGAGGGGAGAGCAGAAGTACCCTGCTAGTCTGAGAGGGAGTGACCGGTCCAAAGCAACCCAGTGAGCTTCATGGCACAGTGGGGACTAGAGCCCGGATCTCCCCAGTCCCAGGGATGGGAATACGGGGGCTTCAGCCCTTTTCAGTTAACCCCCCCATCTTGTCCCCTCGCCACATTTGCCCATGTGACCATAGACAGGGTTACTTAGGGGTGCTTCCGGACGTCGTGCAATCCCATAGGGTTTCATGGCGGCCCAGATGACACCATCTTCCGTTTGCAGCTACTTCCATTGGAAAGCAAGCTGCCAGACAGAGGGCTCCTAGCATGACTGATGAGGAGCCATTGAGCAGCTCTTTCACCTTGTGCATTTGTTCAATGGATTTTCTGCAGTCAGAAAGGAGCGGCGAGCAAACAAGGGAGCGTGACAAGTGGCAGACAAGCATGTCTGAACAGCCCGCCTCGTAAGGCACGAAAAGCTCCTGTGTGCATGTGTGTATTTATTGAGACAGTCTGGAGAAGAGGCATGCAAATTTAGCCCAGCCTCCTCAAAGGGACAGGCTCCTTATATTTGTACAGGGATTTGCCCTTTGAAAAATGCCCCAAAATGTAAATAATATGTGTAAGGCATACTTTAGACTTTACAGCGTAAAACAAAGTTATGTTGGGTTGCAATCCTATACTCACTTACCTGGGAATACACCCGTCGTACACAGGGGCAGGAAAACATGTATAGGATCGCTCTCCATGGATGAAGTTCTGTGGTTCATAGGACAATGTCAAAGAAGAGCACCTCAGCTATCGGAATGTACAGAAATGGAATAAATATATCAAGTACCATTTTAATATGTGCTTAATATCATTTGCTTAATTTAGAAATGTCTGGCTTTAACTGTTTTAAATGTTCTTGGTTTACTGCTGAAAGGCTGCATTGTCTTAAATTGCACACCACCCTGATGGCTTTTAGCAGAGCTAGTGGCTTATAACTAACCAGATAATGTCTCATGCATACACACACGACTGCCTAGTTCTTAAATGTGGGCCTTTCCATGCCTTGGGATTTTGTTTGGGCCCTGTGATTTAGGGGTCTCTGCTCTATTCCCAACTTCTATTCACAATATGCTTGCTACCTGGCATAAACTAAAACTATTTAATGCAAGTGGACAAATATTAGTTGCATTTACTTTATGGCAACCTTTTGACTGGCTGAGCACGATCCTCATGCAGCCCCCTTCTGATGCAACCCCCCATGTTCTCTCATAAAAGTAGGCCCAGTATTTTAGTCTTAGGCAGCTCTTATACACTGATTTCTTACTTCTTTAAAAAGACATGAGCTATAGGTGACTAATTTACCCATTTTAACTTTAGTATAAATTAAGGAAATAGTAAATGCACTGATGGAAAAAAACTCAGTGGTGCTGTCAGGCAAGGAATTAAGGATATAGGTTTACAAGCCCATAGAATAAACTGTCTGTGGGGTGGAGGGAACACAGCAGAGCCGGCTTATTACAACTTGGAGTAGACAAATATATACTATCATCTAATGAGTCCCATGCAAAACTATTGTCTAGATCAGGGATCTTACGCTCACCACACCGCTGCATCCCTCAGCACCTTTCCAAGCACCCACCAAGCTGCCCTGCCCTTCCCAAATGCTATTTAAATTAACACGTTTTCTTCCTGACTGCTGGGATTGCTGTTTCCATTTGTGCTCAAAACAATTCAAAGGAAGCATTTGGTGTTAGAAGGTTCAGACCCCTCCTCTGCTCTGTAGTCGGCCTTTTGGGCAGATTACTCATCCTTTGCAACAGGCATGCTGAAGTTGCACCAAGCACAGTTTACCAAAGGTGCCCATGGCCCCAGAAAACTGACCCACCCCTTGCCTAGAGTTGAAAAGCATGTAAGTGCACCAGGGAACAAACTGGCAGCCAACATGAAAGGAATGGGAGCAACCGTGCCTCAAGAAATCTGCCAACAGTGCAGAGTAAGTCTGAAATTCCATCTGGGTAGCAAGTGGAGCTCAAGCAGTTTAATGTCACCAGAGCCCTGAGATGGAATTTCATCAGCCCTGTTATGTGTCATGCTAAGAAGTTTCAAGGATTACTATTAACTGTAGCATTGAGAGAGGCTTTCCAGAATATCCCATGCAAATTTTGAAAAGCCATCCAAGATAAGCAGCTGTACCATTTTGACATTTGAGATGAATGTAGCCCAAAGGAATTTTCTTTCATAAGGATTGCTAGATCCTCAACACTCTAATGTAATGTACTTCCACAGCTTTAAAATTGTATTTTTGAACACTCAAGCCACTAAACTTGTTTGAAGGAGATTTGAAGGCCACAGTACTCAAACCATATTTCACTGCAGTAGTTCTGAAGGAGTCAAGGACAATGTAGAGTCTTCATTCTTTTAGATACTTGCATCCTGTATAAAAGGCCTTATTCCTATGACCTGCCAGTGATGATATTTTAGGGTGGCCAGGCACAAAAGAAGATAGCATTTTTGCACCTTTAATACCTTTAAGGTGTGTTAAAGAAGAAATTCCAGCAGGCATAGTTACACAAGCTACACCTGCTCAAGTCCCCGCTTATATACACCTGTACAGGAGCTCTGTCCTCCATCCTGCATGACTATATGTACAAACCTGATTGTAATCAACACTTTCCAGTTAGGAATTGTAAGCCGAGCCTTTCTACGATGGTTTGTCTGCAAATGGCTATAGGTCACGGTAGTGCTGGTGACTTTGGCACAGCTTCAGAGGTGTAGGCAATATCCTAGACCTGACTGATTTTGACTGCGCTGCAATGTAGGTTTATCAGAACAGCAGAATAGTGGATTTGGCCCTTGGAGTGGATGTCCCAGATCCACAAACAAATGAGCTGTACTGAATGATAAAATGATCTGTATTGAGTTGAAAGCCAGGGCAAAAAATTCAAAGCAACAAGATAGTGTATCTATGAAGGAAATTCTGTGCAATTTCAGAGGAAAACAGCATCACTTTCATGCTAATTAAGCCACAGAATCATTTTGTTCTACAAAATATTTTTCTCACATACCAATTTGCATGTAGTTTGGGTGTTTTTTTTAAATTCTCAGTCTCTTGTCACCATCTGTAGCTCAAATCCCCATGCCTTAAATTGCAGGCATCTGTTTAAAATATTCATTTCTTCAGTGGCATGGGAGATTCATAATCCAAACTCATCTAATAAATACGGGGCTATGTTTCAAAGCAACCAGAGACAGCTTGCCATTTTAAATGCTGCCTTTTTCAACTTCAGTGGACATTGTCCTGCATGTGTCTAATATAAATTGAAAAGTAAACAATACCCCAGAGGGAATGCCACGACGTTGTGTCAAGTGCAGAGATCATCTTACGGGAGAGACTGGCGAGTCCTGTGCTGAGCTCTTTATCCATCGTAGCTTTTATTCTGCATTTTAATTGAGCTAGCCATAATGCCGAACTGCACTCTCAAAATAGTTTCAGCACCATGGATAGCTATTTTAGCGCTCAGAACAGCCACTGCAATGGGTATGGCACCCACCTGACCAGCCCTCCTCGTCTTCAGACTTTTGTACCCCTGGTGGGCCATTTGCATCCACTAGCATTTGATGGCTGATGGCTGGAGGATGCAACTCATCTACCTGGGTGGGAGATGAAATATTTTGACTTTGAACGATGGCTGCTGAGAGACATGGTAAGGATTAAGCTATATGTTATGTTATTAAGGCATCTCTTCTTTTAATTGATGACATTAAAAAAGGAACCATAGGGTTCTGACACATACTGGGGACCCATTGCAGTTTTTGATGCAAAATGATCCATCACAAGCTGCTACTTGTCTCCAAGGAACAAGGAACTTGTTCCAGGAAACTGCATCTTTTGGAACCAAAAGCATTAGGGGAGTTGGCAGGAAATACCTGCAGGGTCAGGAACACACTCTGAATTGGGACCCTGCAGGCATTTTTTCCCTCAAATAAGAGTAGCCAGTTTAAACATGATTTTTAAGAAGCATGAATGATATACTGTATATTTGGCTACAAGGTGGAACCTTGCTGGGGTGGGATAGGAGGGCCTGGAAATTTTGCAGGCAGGTGACCAGTGCTGATTTGAAAGCTGTAAGGTTATTTGCTTGTTCATACTGTTCAACAAGAAGTGTGTGTAAATAAACAGGCATTACACACTACCGTTATGACTCCAGTCCTTTCCCTTTATAGGAAAACTTATGTCTGTG